ACACAGGACAAATTGCTCTGTTGTTGCATCATGTTTATTCAACTTTGGTTGATTAATTTGAATTCTTAGCAATGGTATCCTTTAAAACTTTGTTTGTTCACTGTACCCCCTTTAAAATAGCACAAATGTACAGGTATCATGTTCATTTTGGCAGTATATTTGGTCAAGCCAATTACATTTTTAGATTCATAGAATGGATAAGAAAGGTTGTGTTATTTAAAGAGGTGAACAAATTTCTTTTGTTGTGTGGTTCTTGTTTAGTAACATCTCTTTCTGACTATACTGCTACTGATCATGTCCCAAAATGATTAATGCATTAATTAAGTCCCTGGAATATATATTTATTATTGCTTTATGAACACAACAGTAGTTTTAATAGAAAACTTAAAATTATGGTATGGTATCTCCATAATGAGGTCATCTGATCCTGTAGATGGATGAGAATGGGATAAGTTCAATGTATGCTGACTTCTCTTTATATCTTCATCTCCTTTTTTTAGTCAATCTCCCTTTGAAGTGGGTTTTATATTTTCTTATTAATTAAAATTTTTTAAAAAATAATTCTGGAAAATACATTACAAATGAATAACTTTAATTTATTAGAAAAATTGATTAACATTGGTGTTATTTTAAAATATACTCCGTAATAAATAATAATTGAATCACATGAAAAATCATTTCATGCATATGAGGAAAATATTTTTAATTTCTAATATATCATTGTCATGTGTAAATAACAAAAGGTTATAAGGGACAAAAAAATAATTTTATAGATTTTATGCCCCTTACTAGAAACAAGAATCATGTGACCCCTAACTTAGAATAACTTTTAAAAATTCATAGTTCTGATCTAAACTTGTTCAAATTAAAATTGCATCCGATGAAGTAATAAGTTTCCTTTTAAATTGAAGTTTGAATTTTCATGCTTACCAAACAACCTCTAATTAATGAAAATGTATTGCCATCCTAAACCAATTTTAGGTTAGATAGTTAAAGATGTTTTCTTCTATTAAATTTGACATCTTTTCTTGTAATATTTGAAGTATGATATTTCAATGATTTGTGCATAATACAAATTGTGCTTGTGTACCATCTGGTAAGGTTAGATCCACTAGCAATTTGGATAGCAAAGGTGTTTGGTTGTTTATAGGAAATGTGGCCTTTTCTTTTTATCTAAAATCATACTTTAATTGAGTCTTAACACATTAAACTAATGCACGCAAACATTAGACTAATGCACACACTTAACTTTGTTCTTTGCCATGTGTCAATTTCATAAGCTCTAGCTATGTTTTTTTTCTTCTGCTTTTGCAATCTTGCATGGTTTTGAATAATATAATGCTTCAATAATTGGGATTAGAGTGAACTAATTACATTTTTTCTACAGGATGAAATATATCTCAACTTCATTACCAACTTGCACCTGACACCAACAAAATAGCAGTCAAGGTAAAGATTGAGGTAATACATCATCAGATTTGTCTAGATGCTCTCTGTAAAGCAGTTTTATCAAATTTGCACGCTTGTTTTTTTTTTGAAATACTATATAAAAAAAAAAAAAAATCATAGTAGTATGATATTGCAGCTTTAATGAAGATTCACTGTGTCTAGTTGCTCTAGGCTACTAGGCTTTAAACTAGAGATGATATATGTAGGCTAGTCTGCAGACACTGCTTATATTGTGGTGCCTCTGTGTTTATTTGCAGAATTTGTTGCTTTGTGCCCTTCTTTCTTTCTAGTCTTTTGCTTTGGAGTGTCTTCTCAGAGATCAGGTCACAACGACCTTAATTATGATTTGTTTTACCAATATTATTTCTTGATATGATAAGAATAATATAATTTAAGATATTGCATGATGTAAATAAGTTTGGCATTTAGCAAACTAGCTGGTTTCCTTCAGTCTGGAATCGAATTAAATACGTTTTCACCGACCTATTGATAAAAAAAGATTCAGAATAGGCCACTAAATTGAGAACTAAAACCATTTCGAACAAGATTTGGTCTCTCTAAGTAGGATTATTTTGGATGAATTATTTTTCAGACCATCTCACAAATTTTTATCCGTGAAATGAGTCGTATTTAGATGAAAATATAATATTTATGATGAAAAATATAATACTAAGATTGTTACTTATAAAGGAAAGTGTATATTTATGAGGAAAATTGTGATATTTTGAAAAGAAAATGTTAATTTAAGTGATCTTTCTTAAATGTTACATTAAGATTGACCTTTAAATGTAATTTTTTTATAATAATTCTGATATTATAAAATATTAATTTAAGTTATTTATATTAAATTAATTTAAAATTAATAATCCCCTAAAAAGTAATAGAAATCATATTAAACAAACCATAATGTATTAACTTTTTTATTGATATTATAATTATCATTTATGAGTTAGTTTGATATTGTAATTCTTTACCAACTCGTTCTTGCATTTTCTCTCATTTTTTAAAATTTTGTTGATATTATAATTATCATTTTTTTTTATATAATAATGATCTTTTATGAATTTTTAATATAGAATAAGAATACGATCTTATCTTAATAATATTAAAATAACATATATATTTATAATATTACTCAATATTAGTAAATGCAATTTATATATCTATTGTATTGTATTACTTTTATAAATAAAGTAGCTTTCTTAAATGCATTTCGATTGGCTGGAACCAATTACTCCGTATATTGGTAACTTTAAATAAATAAAATAAAATAAACTTTTTAAAATAAAATAAACTTTAAAATAAATGAAATAGTGGGATAGTTATCGACTCATGTTCAAATTTAAACACATTTTTCCAAGATATTGTATTGTATTTATAATAAAACAATGTTTTATAAATCTATTTAATATGTATGTCATTAAAAAGGTTTCAAAGTAAATCTCAAATAAATTTTAAGTCTATTTAAGGCTTACATGTTAGTCTTTTTAAGACCTACATATATAACTAAATCAATAAGACGTAGGCTTGAAGACTAAGCCTTGTACATATAAGCTTGAGCCAATTTGCCTAAATAGGATTTAAGAATGTCTAGGCATAACCTTTTTACTAAATACGTCAGGCTAGGCTAGGCCCAAACTAAGCTAGGTTATAGGTCCTTACGAAGCAATCGTTATGCTGTGCAACCATGTGCACCATGCACGGTGCACACGGTTGCAAAACGACGCCGTTTCATTTATAAAAAATAAAGGAATAAGGTTCAAATTGGCCACTGAACGTAACCTGAAAATGCAATTAGGCCACTGAACGAAAAAAAGTGCAATTAGGCCACTGAACACTCCAAAAATGTGCAATTTCACCTGATAGCAGGTTACCCTCAATTTTAGCAGGTTATCTGCTTACGTGGCAGTTGAGTTGGCATTTTTAATAAATTTTAATTAATTTTTAATAAATTTTAATAATAATTTTTTATTAAATTTTTTTAAAAAAAATAAAAACAAATTTATTTTATTTTTTATTTAATTTTTTCCAATTTTTTATAAAATTTATTATTAAAATTAATTATTAACAATTATTTAAAAATTATTAAAAATGTCAACTAAGCTGCCACGTAAGCAGGTAACCTGCTAAAATTGATGGTAACCTGCTATCCGGTAAAATTGCATGCGTTTGGAGAGTTCAGTGGCCTAATTGCACATTTTTTGAGTGTTCAATGGTCTAATTGCACTTTTTTTTTTTTTTTCGTTCAGTGGCCTAATTGCATTTTCAGGTTACGTTCAGTGGCCAATTTGAACCTTATTCCAAAAATAAATAAATAAATAAAATTGTTCGGATTGTCATTAACCGCGTTAGGCGGTTTCCTTTCGTATTCAAACAGTAGGATATATCTAGAATTACATAACTATATATCCAGAATTACATAATTATATATTCATAATTTGACAACAGTAAATTCAGAAATAATACCTACACATTCATAATTTCATATCCATATATTCATAATTTCACAACTAGACATTCATAATTACATAACTCCATATTCAGAATTCTTAAAGTGCTTGTTCACAGAGAATTATATCCATAATTGCATAACTACACATCTATAATTTCAAAACTATATATCCATAACTTCATAAGTATATATCTATAACTTCATAATTATATATTCAGACTTACATAACTATATATTCATAATTACACGTCAGTTGTAATTTTTTAATAATAATAATAATAATAATAATAATAATAATAATAATAATAATAATAATAATAATAATAAAATTATTTGATTGGTGGAGTTAAATGGTGCCACTAATGGCACCGTTACTCCATCATAGTAAAACGGTGTCGTTTTACAACCGTGTGCAGCATGCATGGTGCACACGGTTACACAACATAATTTGCGCCTACGAAGGGGCATGACATATTTTCATCCATATTTCTAACCATTGATCATGTGAAGCCTAGTTCTATACACACATATTTTCCCTTCAACAAATTTAACATTCCATTTATTTCATTTTATGTGTCTCGTTCGATTAATGAGGCTTGACTGAAGTAATTTTGAATTTATTTTTTCATAACATTAAGTTTAATATTAGTATATAAAATTTATATATTTAGAAACTACATGAAAAGTACTATAAAACACAATTTTAATATAAAAATAATTAAAAACTAATAAAAAAAATAACCAAGGAAGAAATAATTGATTTGACCAATGAATAACAAAGACGATAGATAAAATGGGACAGAAAAAGTAACATTTATTACTCACTCCGTAGTTACTAAAATGTTCTTAAAACATGAATTTGAAATAAAATATACAGTTAAAGTGAAGTTCTATAGTGCTATACTGCTATATTCTCAAAATGAAAAGTGGTAATGTGATTTCAGAATTTCTGTAAACAGTTAAACTTGCACTCCTTTTTATTTTTAAAATAAACATTATGGCATTTTCTACATTTCATACTCTCATTTATAATGAACAAAATCGAAAATGTGTCACTTATTTAAAATATAAACATACTTTCTTAAATTTGATTTTTTAAAAAGAGAATACTTGTTACTGTATAGAAGTAATACAACATACCAATACATCCATTTTCACCCAAAGAATAGAGACAGGCTTTTAAAAAGAGAGTCAAGCTTTTTCGTTTGTTTTTCTTTTCTTTTCTTTCTTGATGCACGAGTGTTTTGATAGGGATTGAATTAAAAATCTCTTTTATATCTGTGGGAAATACAGACCATCTGTTTAATCTTTTAGCTCGGACTTTTAGGCAGCTTTATTCCATTGTTAATTAGCTTCCATCATTTACTTGGTGCTGGGCAATTGGGCATTCAAATGTTCAATTCCACAATGATTGAATCAATAATCTTCAGTCCCCACTCCACCTCTGGTAAAAAACATCATAGTTTCTGCCAAAAAAGGGGTCAGTAGAATGATAATCCAATGCCATAAACAAGGTTTCCTAGTAGTGCGGTTTTTCATTATCATACGCAGGCACTTAATGACCCATACTCACCCATTCTTATCACAATTTTTTTTTTTGGGAAGTTGCACCTTCTTGAAAAGTTGGATATGATGATGCTGCATCAATAAATCCATAGCTGAGCAAAGAGGAGCAGAGCAGAAGTGGATGCCATTAATTTATAGTATTTCCTTTGACTACACTATTGTAGAAATCGGCCTAGGCAATCACCTAGGCTCCGATTAGGCACTAGGCACCCCTAGACTGAAGAAATTGACACCCCTAGACCGAAGAAATTTCACCCTTGAACGGATCTTAGTCAACCAACTAGGTGACCTAAACACCCAAGACAGCCAACTCGGCTCCTGAGTCAACCAATTTGGCCGTGTTTTTTTTTTTTTTTGGGATGTGCAATGTGTTGTGTTTTTCTTATTATTATTACTCACCCGCCTATACACTAGGCAGTAGGCACCCCGGGCACCCCACTAGGTGGCTAGGCGCTAGCGCCTTCTACAACATTACCAAACCACTCAACAATATATTGGTATGATAACAGGTATTTGGGCAGACCCAAATGTCTTCAACATTTGCACCTTTAGTCTGCTGATGGCAAGCAAATGTGCCTATGAAGTTATAAAATTAGCCTAACATCACTACCTGCACATAAAGATTTTGAATTTTTTTGTTTTTCTTTGGCTAATTCCTGTCTATACCCAGAGACTGAGCAATATTGATGTCCATTTACCTTCATTCTGGGAGCAAACTCTAGCATTTTTGCACTTTGGTAAACAAGTATCAACCCCAGAATTGTGCAACAACTAGGCTATGAAGTTGCTGTCATTCTAGCATAGAGATGAATAGATGATGACCCAAATAACACCCTGATCTACTACATGCAGCTTGAGGATAAACAAACCAGGTTAGTGTGTCACCAGGTTACGACGATGCCCTAGCAACCCATATGGTACATATTTCTGAATTCTACTCCTCGACTCCCCCAAATCAACCGAGTATAAACCAGGTTGTGTATCACTTGGTTCCCCAAACCAGACTATTAGACATAACACCTAAGACTAGCACAGCTAACAACTATAAGGAGTTATGCAAACCAGAATTCAAAAGGGACTGAAAAAATCCGCTTTCTAATCTCAAAGGACAAGTAACCTCAAATTCAGAACAAACAGGATGACTAGGAGAAGCAAAAGGACCGTACGTACATCATGATAACCACAGAATTTGCAGACTTCACCAATTTGAACAGGAGTTACAACTGTCCAATCTCTTACAACATAAGAGTTTCAACACTTGCACTACATTATACATGACCCCAAAAAAAAAAAAAAAAAAAAAATCACATATGCAAAAGAGGTGTTTGCTCTGTCCAGGAATTCCTAAGTTATATATATATAAAAGGGATAAAATCTCATAATAAAAGTTCAAAATTATACCCAAGCTCCACAATCATTGATAGAGCCAGCTCCAGCCTCCAGTTGGCCTCTCACTTTTATTCTTCTCATAATCAGCATCATCTGTGGGCAATTCATAACGACAAACAGGGCATGTGTTCCGAATGCTTAGCCATGGCACAATGCAATCTCCATGGTAATGATGGGCACAAGGTAGCCTATTCACCTTCTCTCCAACCAAAATATCATCTTTACAAACCGCACAAGAGACGTTGTTTTTGCTCGCCTCCTCATTGGTGAAGACCACGCAAGGAAGACTTTCGACTACAGATTTGGAAGCAGGAGGACTACCCTTCAAAGCACCTTCGATCTCCAAAAGTTGGCCAAAGAGGGCATCATAGTCATAGTCTGTAGCATAAGCATGATCATCATTAACAGCTAAGTATGATATCCCATCACCAATACTTTCATTTTCGAATTCAAGATGTCTTTCAAGATCATTCATTGCCAACAGCACCTCCCATTCTAAACTCCTTTGCCCATCCTCTTCTCCTCCTCCATCACCAGAAATTGAGTTCTCCCCCTCAGAAGAAGAAATCTCTGAGGAAACTGAAATTTCTTCGATTCGATCAATCATTGAACTCAAATTATCCCTCTCCACGACCCTTTCATTCACTTCTTCCCACTCGAATTCTTCTTCTTCGTGCCGATTATCAAACCGAAGACAATTCAACAAAGCTGGCACATCCCCATTTCGATAACTAACCCCAGAATTCACCTCTGAATCCTCCGTGTCTGACTCCGAGGCCATCCCGACGATTCGAAGGCCATCAGTAGATGGAAAATTATGCGATTCGAAAGGAATAATTGCCGGATCGAAATCAGATCCAAACCCTAACCCTAACCCTAACCCTAACTCTAGCTCCTCCGAACTACTTACATCATTCGAGCCACCTGTATAAACCCTATCTATATCCCCATCGTCGCGAGAATCGAACAAATCGGTGACGAAATTCATTTGGTCTTCATCGTCGTCGTAAAAGAGGGAATTGGGAAGAGAATCGGAGTTGTCAGAATGCGAGGGTGAATTTGGGGCGAAGTTGAAATCATCAAAAGAAGCTGAAAGCGTGGGAGTGGGAGGTGAAAGAGAGTCATACTCGAAGGCGTAGAGATTGGTTTCCTCCTCGGCGAACGCCGCGGCTGCGGCGGCGGCGGCGGAACCGCCGGTGTTGGTGGTGATTTGGTGCTGCAGTTGATGTTGAAGAGTAGAATCTTCGGCTTCCGCTTCCGCATCCGCCATCAAAACGGAAAGCAGATTAAAGTGTAGAAGTGAATCTGGCTGGTTTTAGGTGAATTTATTTATTTTTATTTTTTGGAAGAGAATAATAAAAGGGGAGATTGATTATTTGGAAATTGTTGCGCTCAAAAATCAAAATCAAATGAACCTCATTTTTCGGCTCTCTTTCCGTCATCTTGCGGGGGTTCGGACTCGTAGGAAGGATACGTCCCTTTCTGTTTTACGGATCATTTTCTATTTTTTTCTTAGCATTGTTTAAGGTTTCTTCAAAAATTCAACTTCACAAAATTGCTAATTTAGTTCATAAAAGAGGTCATGCCAAACATAAGTCACAATTTTTTCGTCTCTGATAATTCGATCGAAATAATCGATCTTTATTTCGAGGGACTAAGACAACAAAAAAGAATTTAAAGAGCATGACAAAAAAATGAAATGTTTTTAATTTTTTTATTCAAGTGATTAGCAAGTTTATATCCAAATTGCATGATTTAATAGGATCATGCTTTCCTTTGGTATTATCTTAAATTGCATAGTTAAATAAAGAGTTAATTCCACAGGAAATCTCTTGTCTTTGGTGACAAGTCCAAATTTAATCTCAGACTATCGTTTTTGCCATTTTACATCTCAAAGTATCGTTTTTCGGACACATTTCTCATAATTTTTTCTATTTTTAGTAAAGGTATTTTTGTCTCTTCATATTTTTCTTTTGTTATTTTTCCGGTTTCAACCAGTTTAATTGGTTTAGAACTTTACTAAAATCTAGTTAAAAATATGATTACTAAAAATCAGAGGTTATCTAAAATTCTAAATCAATTAAACTGGTTGAAACCAAAAAAATAACAAAAGAAAAATATGAAGAGACAAAAATGCCTTTACTAAAAATATAAAAAAAATTATGAGAAGGACTAAAAGTGTCTAAAAATGATAATCTGGGATGTAAAATGACAAAAACAATAGTCTGAGACTAAATTTGAAATTATCACAAAAGACAAGGACCTCCAGTGAAATTAACTCTTAAATAAATTTTGAAATCTATTAAATATATTTTAAGTGATACAAGTTTATATTCAAAGTGAACAATTAATTTAAAAAACTGTGAACATTTAACAGTTGCATTGCATTATAGTTTTGATATAAATTACTCCGTCATTTCAGATTAATAATAATAATAATAATAATATTATTATTATGGACATTTTGATTTTATACTACTTATCCATTATATATATATATATATATATATATATATATATATATATATATATATAAGCTACTCCGCAGTACAATCAAAATTGTTTGAAGTTGTTAACCAACGGCTGCATATATTAATTATGACCGAAATATGAGTATAAATAGAGAGCATATTGTGATCAAACAAGATTCTGTTTCTTTCTCTAGTGTCTCAACACTGTTCAAAATTTTTGTCTAAACGAAACTGGGTTCAAAATTTTACCCTAAAGATGAGTTCATATGCTGATACAGAACAGCTAGGAGAGCAGGAATCATAATCAAAAGAGCAGCTGTGATGAAATACTTGGACTTAAGCTGCCTTGCATCTATGTCCCTTGTGGAATCAAGTTTGGATGTTGAAACAGCGTGTTCTTCTGTCTTTGGCTCATCCTCGAAAATTTCTTGAGATGTTTCACTTTCATCCTCATCCTGCTGCTCAGTATTCAAAAGGAAAATCAGGTTAGAGAATTTCAGAAATGAGAAATAAATAATCATTGTGAAGAAAGATAGTTTGGGATAAGCGTCTACGGTTCACGTGTTGCTGGCTTCGAATCTCTACGTCACCCGATAAGCGGCACACGTGAGGGGGCGTGTTGAGCATATAACCATTAATGTGCAATCCAACTATTAGCTTAGGCTTTTAGATGAGATGGAGCACATGCTTCAATTGTTTGTCGTATTGAGCATTTGATTTGATTTTTTTTTCTTTCTTTCTTAGAAAGTGAAGTCATCATATATGACTTAAGAAAGCAGATGAATTGGCACAATCACCTACCATGTTATCAGACAAAGGGACCTCCGTGGCTTCTTTTGTGCTCTCTTTTGGTGAATTTGCACTACACGACTTGTGCTCAGTGAGCATGGACTCTCCCGTATTTTCTGCATCATCTCCACCGAGAACTGCATCAGGAACCTTGTCCTTTTGCTCCAACTGCTTCATCAGAGTTTGCTCAAACTGCTTCATCAGCGCCTTTTTCTCTTTCATCAATGACGATATCTGAACATACCATACAAGTTACACAAATTTTAATTGAATATAAAGATGTAAATAATCAACTGTTCCATAGGAAACCCACCTTAATCAAATAGGTTATTCAGGAGAATGTCCTAAACTTATCTGTACACATAATTTGACCACAAATATCTTTATAGATTTGAAATTTGTATTTGCATTGGTTCGAGGGTATAGTTCTAGCATGTTGTACGTTATTGTGTTTTCGACATTTCATAAACCTAAATGTAGAACACCGGGCAAAAAGGCACTTAAAGCTCTATCAAATATGAAAAGGTAGGAGCTAGATTAGAAACCTGCTTATGAAGTCTTTCTCTTTCAAGTGCCAATTGCATAATCAAATCTGTTATCAGTTGAGTACGGAAGCTAATATCTCTGGCAGTTGCCTTCTTTGTTTCCTCAGCTTGATGCAAGGATGCCTCCATGCATTCCATTCTACTCCTCAGAAAATTCAATTCATCATTGAGACCAGCATTAGCTTCTGACAAGATGATACACTTTTCTTCAGCACTCTCAGTTAGAGTTTCAGCTTTAGAAACCTTCGACTTTAGACCCTCAATTAGATTTTCCATATCCTTTATAGTAAAATTTAACATCGTTTGCTTCTCCTGACTGGCTTCAGCAGATGCCACTGCATGTTGAAGATGAAGCTCAGATTCCTTCAACTGCCTCTCAAGCAGATAAATTCTCTCAGAAGTAACACTACTACTATTCCTAAAGAGACTGAGATCTTCGTTGAGCTCCATATTGACATCTCTTAATGATTTACACTCAGCTTCTGCAGTTTCGGCTCTTCTTTCAGCTATGGAACATTTTTCAATCAGATCATTTATTCTAGCTTCCATTTCATGAATCTTCATTTCCAAGTTTTTCTGAGCAGAGATTTTAGCAGTCTGTAAGAGAGAGTCAGAATCTTTCAATTGTTTATCAACTGAGTTCACTTTTGTCCTAAGTTCTTCACAGGTATTCTCTGCCTTCTGCAATAAGCTGTCTTTGGCTAAAACTAGTTCATTCAAATCTTTCAGTTTAGACTTCAAGTCTTCCTCTCTCTGTAAAGCACTGTTTAAATTAAAGTGTGTTCTTTGAAGTTTTCCCCTTAGCTCTTTTGAAACCCCAAGCAGGACTTCACTAGCATTTTCTGCTGTAAACAGCCTTCCACAAGCATCTTCGAGCTCTATTTCTAAGCAGAATAATTGTTGCTGAAAACTAATATTCAGCTCTTCTTCACGTTGTTTAGATTCAGAAAGTTTATTCTCAAGATCCAGCTCATTTGCCAGAGACTTTTCCAGCATTTGCAAAACCTGTCTTTGATGCTCTGCAATCTGCATTTTTATCTGTGTATTTGGAGTTAAAGGAGCAGCATTTTCAAGAATTTCCAAAACTTTTTCATCGTCTTCCCCTGCCATATTAAAAAAAATTTCACAAGTTTGATTGTATTGAAGAAAGTACTTGATAGAAAACTTTGTTCTTTGTTCTTCTATTTTATATATTTAATTATTATTAAGAAATAAAAACAAAAATAGGAAGGGGTGGGGTAGCTCTGATTGAATATGATACTCCACTTTCAATTTTATGAGTATATGTGTGTATAATATATATATATATATATATATATATATATATATATATATATAACAGATGTCTCCCATCAAATAAGAGATAAAATACAAGGAACTTACCGTTTACATTTTCCATGGTCAATAGAATCCTTTGAAAATTGGAAGATTGCTCCATCAATTCCGAAAGCTGTTCTTGTGACTGCTTTAGGAAACTCTCGGCATCATTCAACTTTTCTTCAATCACCCCATAAAGTTCTCCTGCATCCTCACATGAAGGTATGATCTGGCGGGAATACCCAATCTCCATTTGAAGAGAGGACAACAAAACACTTAGTTCCCTTACCTCAGAGTCCAAGAGTACAGATAAAAGCTCAAACTCCATCGCCTTCTGAACAGAATCATTTGAACTTTGCTCCTTCTCAGCAACAAAAGCCTCAAATTCATTTTCCCTTGTTTCCACATGCATTTTAAGTACACCTAAATTGGCAAGTTTCTCTGAGGAGCCTGCTAAATCTACTTCAATCTTAGCAATAACCTCCTCCTCAATACTTCCTAGTTCTTGCATGGTTTCTCCACTAGATACAATCACATCAAGAGAGTCAACATTCTTCGATTCTTCCTCCAGTTCACCAGAGCAGTGTTCATCCTTCCCAGAGTTGGCATCCATGATAGTTTTTGAGCTACAGACAGACGATCCTTAACAGTCCACAAATCCTGACAACTCCGTAAAGGTTATTCACCCAGGCTCAGGAGACTACATTTAAAAAGGTCCACACATCACGGGGCTATATTGCATGTCAGAAGTTCCAACAGCACACAAGTAGGATATGCATTTTCCAGAACATAGAACGAATCACAGAAAGGCTAAAAATGCATCCAGAAAGATCATGGATTGATAAATGTCAGGATCAAGCGTTTATCACTATACCAATAGCTATAGTTAATAGTGAAAGCGCAACTTTATTTCCTTATACTTGCGTAGCAGTCGGTGTCATGTTTCAATGGCAGGATGCTGGACTCGGCTCTCTGAGCCACCCCAATAGCTATAGTTAGTAGTAAAAGCGCAACTTTATTTCCTTATACTTGCGTAGTAGCAGTCAGTGCCATGTTTCGACGACAGAATGCTGGACTCGGCTCTCTGAGCCACCGCCCAACAATAACAATGGAGACAAATGGAACAAGGAAAGGGAAGTAAGCATGCAATCTAATTACTCCATATACAAATGAAGAGCATTAAGGAGTACACATTCTAACAATGAAACAATCGAATAGCTTTTGACAACCTTTTAATATCCTTATTTCTCAATTCTAGCAAATAGCTAATTGTTTTCAGATTCTGTTCAAATCCCTTCCTCCCTAAACACAGCTAAACCCATCAAAAGAGATAAGATCAATACAAATAACAGATGATTGATAAATGAAAATTCCACAACTATTCAAACACATCAAACATGACAAAATACAACCAAATCTTTAGGAACAAAAATTTCTTAAGAATTCAATAGTAATTACCGACACGATTCAAATTGCCCACATCAATAAATTGAAATATTCCTCCCTCTTTTTTTTCAACAATCAAGAATTTAAATGCTAAAAATAACAAAAACCAAAAAAATAAAAAAAAATTCTTGAATTATCGATAAAGTAAACCAAATTTAACGAGCGTTCACAAATTCAACACACCTGTTGGAAGAGTAGAAGAGCTGAGAGTGAGTCTGAACTGCTGAACTTCGTTTCGGTGGAAAAAAATAATTTCTTTTTGAAAAAGAAAAGAATTCGATCGATACTCGTACCGAAATGACGACATTCGAGACAGCGCAGTGCGTGTCACGTGCTGGTCATGTGACTGCCTTTGGTGGCCACGTGGCGTGTTTCGGTCTTCAGGCCAAAGTTGGGCCTCGTCGTTGAAAAGTGGGCCCATTTCATTATCAACCCATTTTATTTAAAGGAATCTGAAATCGGAGTTTTTCTCTCTCTTCGCGATCTGCAATTCTGCACCAAACGCACCTCGCCAAGGTATCTTCATTCGCTCGTAGTATTTTTATTTGAATTTTCCTTTTTTTTTTTTTTTAACGAAATGAATCAATTTTACGGATCTTTATGACACTGGCGATGCGTAATTGCTGCTTGTATTTTTTTATTTTTAGATTTTTTCTTCTTTAGAAATCAGGAATTTCTGTTTAATGATTCCTGGTTGTTATTTAGAGTTTAGGCAGTTTGGCTGATTATCCTGCAGAAAGATTGTAGCTTTAAGTATTTGCAAGCCACTGAAGAATCGTTTCAAAATCTTGTGCAACTCCCATTTGATAAATGTAGCTATTCTTGGGAGTTGGGACCAACCCATTTGTGAAGTTTGATAATCACAAGTTCTAAGTTCGAACTCTATTGGCCTTCTTGGTTTGAGCTGGTCAGTTGTGGGTGCCAATTAGGGATAACAAGCAAGCTTCACATAGAGTGTACCTTCAGACTTTTCCGTAAATCAAAAATCAAAATGTAGCTATTCTTAATCATGTTCTTGTATATTATATTTGTATGTATAAAAACTATGTTTCTTGTTGTTTTAGAATAACTGAATAAGGGGTGTAACTATATAGCATTCATAGTAAGGTTTTCATTTGTTGCTTTTCTGGCTGCATATTGCATTTTCTTCGATGGCATAGTAGTTGGAAGTTTAATATCCTCTAGTTTCTGCTCACTTCTTGTTTCAGGAAAGAAAAGAGAAGGGAAAACATTGAATTTTGCAAACTAAAATGGCTTCTGGAGATGATCGCGACCACTTGGCTGAATCACTCAATGACCTATTCACCAATGTCTCAAAGATGGTCAAGGGCGAGCTTCAGGTATGTGAAATATCTAATTATTAGCTTTTCCTTAGAATGAGTTTGCCCAATCGAGTGTGAAATTCTTGGATTTTAGTTCTCAAACTTCAAATAGAAAAGGATTGTTTAGTTCTCTGAAACATAAGCTCTTTCCACTTTTCATTTTGTCTTTGCTAAAATTGAATTTTTCGTTCTCAAACTCAGCAGCCTGGTCTCCATCCCTACCACACCATCTTAGCATTCCTTCATTACTCATAGTTAACAAGGAATTTATAGGTCATGTTTCATAGGTCATGGCAAATTAACTGCAGCATGATTTGCTTAAAACTCAGTTCTGATAAAAGCTTGCCTTGTTGTAGCTGGTGCTCTAGGCCTTCTTTTAACGGGAATTAACGCTTTTGATCAAATCACAGGAAACTAACAATCTACTCGAACTTTTGGAGAGAATGAATATACGAGTTGCTGAAGAGTATAAAGGCTTTGGTGATGTGGCTTCCGGGCTGAGAGTTTTTGTTGAGCAGCTCAAGTCCAAAAGCGGTAGCTTTGACGAGTATGTGCAGCAGATTGATTCAATAGAGGGGCAAGTAACTGAACTTGAAGCTGTAGTATCTATGCTTGATAAGTATGTTTCTTTGTTGGAATCAAAAGTTCAGTCTGTGTACCATACTCCACCTTCATGATGACTACACCTTTTAAATCCTCATATTGTTCATTAATTTTACTCTTTCTTAGGGTGTGTTTGGTTCATGGGATTAGACCCGAGGAATGGAAATGGAAGTCATACAGATTGTTTGGTTGATAATTTTTTTTTTTTTTAAACATAGGTATAGAATTTGATTTTATCCCTATAATTAAAAAACTCATTACCTAATTCATTCCATTAATTCAAACATACAAAATACTTTTACTAAAACTCAATCTAATTACTAAGTATTTGATTTCTATTCTAATTTCGATTTTCATGTTGGAACCAAACACACCCTCAATTCATCTCTTATACTGCTAATAATTTTAGTACTCTTTCATCATATATATGCCAATTTTGCTATATGCAGCACTGCAGCAGTGATGGACATCAATCTATCTCCACATATCTAATTGTATATACATGATACCCATCATACATAAAGGTGTGTTTGAAAACCGGAAAAAATAATTTTTGAAAAGGATAAAAAGTTAAAGTCAACAGGAAATGATTTTCGATCATGTAGAAAATAGTTTTATTTTCTTGGAGAATAACTTCTCTTTTTTTGGGTAAGTCATTTTTTAGATCCACACGACTTCTTCTTCCTTGCTTTTTCCACAACTTCTTCGGCTTTCTTCTACAAATGCATCAACTTTCTTCCACCATCCTCAACTTTCTACTTTCTTCCGACAAAAAACCAGACTGGTTTTTGTAGTTTTTAACAAAGTAGACTGGTTTCTACAATTTTTGTTGCAAACCAATAGAAACTAGACTAGTTTCCCTCAAAAATCAGTATTCTACAATTTTGTTTATTTTCTTGAAAATGATTCTTTATCCAGAAAATATTTTCTAAAACTCATTATCTTGATTTTCAAACACAACCTAAAAGTGAATAAAAACAAGTTTCAAAATGTGAGAGGCTCCTCAAATATAACTACAGATGGCCATTATGTTTGCCTTTATCACATATATAAGCAAACCAAACTTCTGACGTTCACCAAAGCTGGCATAGGTCTTGAGGCAAAACTTGCTGCTTGGCCTGAGCTTAGCATAGCATTAGCATGCGAAACTGGTTTTCTCAAAAACTCATCCCGGGATAAGAATGCGCCTATTTTCCAAAAACCCAATGTAGTAAAAAGCATTCATTCTAGCAAGAAATGGGATCAAAGGGTCTAAATATCACTAGTTTCTCAGACAAAACTGAATCTTGGGAGAACCCCAGAAAACTGCAATAATTAGATATATAAATGTAGTATAGCTTTCTGCATTTTCTGTCCAATCCTCAGAAAGCACAAGTTTATGTCCTATCTCGTTTCCATATCATGTTTCCTCACCTCAATGAAATTAAATACATCAAAAAAAAATTGACACTGGACGATAAATTTTCTCAAAAGAGATAGTCCCAAGTTTCTTGCGACCGGAACCAAGAGACTAATGTCTCTCGTATGAGGAAGTACACAAAGGATGTAATCAATAATTTCAAACTTTATCGTAACATCTTCAACCCGCATTGCACATTTGCACTGGATGCACCTCGAGAATTAGGGCCACGCCATACCCCTTGGGAAACTTCACCAATCCAGAACCGGGTGAAGAAGCAATCTGTGAGCAGTTGGGCAATATAGAATAAGGCATGCTTTATATTATATTATCAGAAATCAGAAAACCACAAAACGGGCAGTCTCAAATTCTCAATCATAGACTAAGAGCAAACTATGGTGAGAAGAGCCCAAATCCAAAAAAAAAAAAAAACTTTTTTCCCACAATGTTGAAGCTTTGAGAACAAACAGATTGAGAGGTACATATCTCATTAACGTTTTAAAGAATTATTGTTTAGAATTACTCTATCTAAACAAAACAAAACAAGAAAAAGCAAGAAAAGTAGAGTGGCTGATGAAACGCAAAAAGACGGACCTTTTCCTCTATCTAGAGACATTTGCTCCTGATGGCTTGAAGCAATCAATATTGCATAACACAGCCGATTTCATCATATCACCAAAGCTGCCACCATTAAATTCCGACAGTTATTATAATAATTGTAGAAAACATCATGCCATCATGGACTAATATTAACACGAGGCAAATAAATGAAACACTCTTAACCAGATAAGTTTAATCCGACCGGTCAAAGCTCTTCCTTGCTTTGTCATGTGATTCTGTATTGCTATTCGCCTTTTCACCTTGATCCAAACTCTTACGCGATCTTTCTCTCTTCTCAGTGCTAGCTCTTGGCTTATCTCTCAAGTCCGCACTTCTTCTAGGCTTCTCCCTCTTTTCTGTACTTATCCTAGGCTTCTCTTTCTGATCAGTGCTCGATCTGGGTCTACAGTCTGTGCTGTTTCGACGATCATCTTCATGGTCTGTACATGGTGAATCATTTTTTACAAGTGATAACTTCTCGATAGCTGACACAAACTTCTTCAGATGTTTAATGTACTCCGGGAAGAGCTCCAAGTCACAATGGTTACCACCCGTAACCCATAGTGGTTCATATTTCTGCTTACAAAGCTCCCAAAGCTGCTTGCCATGAGAGCAGTCCACAACTTCATCTGCAGTCCCCTGAAAGTGGCAAAAAAATGCATGCTACTAACCAACTTTTGTCATTATGAAAACCGGCAGAAAAAGAAAAGGTCGATTATAGTACTACACTTATCTTCCAAGAATGATCATATATTCATATTAATAATGCTAGAATGAAATTGAGACATAAATATACAGTAGGAGAAACGGAATAAGCAGACTTCTTTTCAAATTCAGGGAGATAAGTGGAGAAACCCCCACCACAATGCCAGTACAAAACATCAGAAATTAAAAATGAAAAAAAGTTTCAACAATTCAAGGTCCATATGCAATCAGTAACTAAAGGAACATCTTTGAGATATGGAAGAATTCAAGTAGCAAACTCACATGTATAACAAGAACGGGGCATTCAACCAAAGGTATCTTATCAATATTCTGCATTGGAAAGAAAAAGAAAATTATGAATTGAACTGCATATCATCATTTCTCAGTTGCATAATTACATTAAGAAAAGATCAATGAACCTTATATATGTCAAACCAGTATGTCTTCTTCACAGGATACATCACCCGTAGTCCAGACAATATTGGACTGTGCAAAACCACAGCCCTTAATCTTGACAAACGTGATGCAAGATCTATAGTGGGTCCACTGCCAACAGACTGACCATATAAAATAACATCTTCTTCTTTCACACCATACGTCTCACTAAGACATCTGTATGCTGCTTCAATGTCAGCATACGTGTTCTGCTCGCTTGCCTATAATCAAATAAACGAATAAAGTTTAGTAGCTTAATTTCAAGCATCACCAATACATATCAATCTATTTTATTCCCACATACCTTGCCGGTGGACAGGCCATACCCAGAATAGTCATACCTACAAGGAAACAAAAAGAAACAAGAACTCAAATTTAAAGCTTCATCTTAAAGGGCTAAAGCAGAATGGAAACTCAGAATAAGACCAAAAAAGCAATCATGCCAAGCAAATCCCCCAACCATTTCTGTCACTAACTAATTATGGCAGACACAATCCAATAGATTTGCAGTTGAAACAAGTCAACTACAACTCTTTTGCCACTTTGCAAAAGTTCAAAAAGTGTTCAGCATAATACTTAACCTCTCATGATTAACAATCAAGTATTTGAATCTAAATTCTTCTAAAGACTAAAACCAACCCACTAAGATCAGAGTACTAGAGCAGCAGCAGTTCATCTCTCAATCTGTATCAAATAATCTCAATTATCCTAATCAGAACTAAAAATCACAAAGAACTCAACTTTCATTTCAATCCAAAATCCTAAAGCACTGAGAAACCAAATGCATTTATCTATCATAGGGTTAATCTGGGGGAGGAAGGTTGGGTGTACCCCATCAGATTGACCCGAAGGTGAAGACTAAGTTCACACAGCAACTCGTACATCTGTCCCACATCGGCCGCGTTGCCGTGGGAGTAGAGCAGCGTCAGCGAGGCCGCAGGGTTCCTCACGTACATCGCCACAATCTCCGTCCCCCTCTTCGTCCCCAGCTTCAACACGTCCACGTTCTCCCTCTCCGGCACCTCCGTCATCTTCAACTTCCCGGTGGACTCCTCCACCGCCACCCCATACGACGGCGGATCCGGCGGAAAAAACGCAAACTTCGCCGCCATGGATGACGTCATCGCCCCCATCCTCACCACCACCCCTAATCTCTCTATCTATAAATGCACACCAATGTGCATATATATATATATATGTACAGATATGGATATATATACATACATACATATATAATATATATACAGCTGGATAAAGATATACGATCCTAATGGAGAGAATCTTAGTGCGATTTTAAAGCAATTTAGGGCTTAAAATTGCAATTTTGAGCATTCTCGCGATTGATTTCTGGATTTTTTCCCTTTTTTACTTTTATCTATCATCATATTCAATATTCATACGTCACTCCACACACATCAATGCGTGTATTGTGTGTGTGGGGGGTTCGAACGGAGAAGAAAGGTGCTGTGGAGGAATTTCCGGCGTTAAAAAGGAAAGGGAGCACGTGCGGTTTTATTTAAGGTATCGGAGGAGCAGAGACAACGTTAGAAACAAAGTGGGTGTACGGAGTAACGGAGCAACGGGGGTCTCGCTGTTGGACACGTGGGGCGTTAGGGTTTAGGCCATTGGTGTGAGAGAAAGAGAGGGTGTACGGGGTGGACTGTGCTGCAGTGGATATGATATCGCGGGGCCCTCCCGTTTCGGAGGGCTCGAAAAATAACCTGTTATCTTTGTTTTCTTCGGACAATACAAAATATAAATGGAACAAATTGGAATGAAATATGGAAATATGCATTTATTTTTGTGATTAGTGTTAGAAATATATTATATAAAAGGGAAAATAACATTTTTTTCTCCTATAACGTTTTTTCCCTTGAATTATTTATGTTTTCACCACCTCTACTAGTATATTTATTTATCATGATGATTGCTTGTTTCTATTTATCATAATATATATTTATTGATCTATATACCTTCTTACTTTTACCCAACCAAATTTCAATCGTTATGCGGTAGAACTAGAGCCGTCAAAAAATAGATTTTATCTGTCGGTCGACCCGTTCCGTACCGCCGTAGGTAGGGAACGAGTTCTTCAAATTTTGATCTACCAGGAGGCGGGCTTTTTAGCCCGTCCCGCCTATGTCAGGGGTCCAGGCGAGGCGGGTCAGGCGGGTCACGGGTTTAGCCCGCGACCTGCTAATACATATATATTTTGTATATATATTTAGTATTTAATACATATTATTTTTTGTGTTATTTTGGTTTGTGTAATTGTGTTAGTGTGTTATGACTTATAGTGTTAGAAAATACTATTTTATGTGGCTCAAATGCATGGAGAATAAGTCTTCCACGTTGCATGCACGTCCTTGTTGGTCTCGATTCTTCACGCCATGCCGCAACACGTTTCCATGTTTCATGCGATTATTTCTAGCGGAATAATGCGGAAGCGAAGAATCGAAAATTGAGAATTATAGAAGTTAAATAATAGGGAAATATATAAAAATGACAAAAGAATTAATAAGAATGAAAATATAAATATATATATATATATATTACTATCAAGAATATAATATATATATATAAGTATGCTACGTGAGAAAGAAAGAATGAATATAATATATATTGAATTGATGTGTATTAAACAAAGCAAAACACAAAGCTATTTATACATTACAAACAAGAGAAATAATCGCATGAAACATGGAAACGTGTTGCGGCATGGCGTGAAGAATCGAGACCAACAAGGACGTGCATGCAACGTGGAAGACTTATTCTCCATGCATTTGAGCCACATAAAATAGTATTTTCTAACAATCTCCACCTTGGATCAAATTCATCTGTGGAAATTAACAACTGGAATAATCAACTAAACTCAAGCACTGCTTGAACTTAGCAATAGGAAAAGCTTCAGAATATCAGGATGGATCACCATCAACTTCCTGTGTGACTGAAAGTGCATAAGCAACTATGTTGGTTTCATCATCACTAGCATACCTAGCAGGTTTTTTAATTGTCCTCCTAGGACGATCCATAGCAATGGAATACTCTCGTTGTGGCTCGACGAGAGGTGTTGTGCTAGTAGATGCATCATCTTTAGTATTACCGTCAGCAGTAGTAACACTATCAATAGGCCTGAATTCAAACTCCACCTTCTCACCAGTACTCTGTGTCTCACCTGTACTGGGAACTTTTCCAGAAGAAAGTAGTGCATTTTCATCAAAAGTGATATCTCGACTCAGAATGATTTTCCGAGAATCAGGAGACCATAGACGATACCCTTTTGACTCAGAAGCATAACCAAGGAAAATGCATTTGACAGCTCTCGGGTTTAATTTACCCGTACTGGAATGAGCATAAGCAGGACATCCAAAAACTCTTAAGATAGAGTAGTCAACAGGATTACCTGACCAAACTTCCTCTGGAATTTTGAAATCAAGGGATGAATGTGGAGATCTATTTACCAAATAGCAAGCAGTAGAAACGGCCTCGGCCCAAAAATCACGCCGTTTCCATAACCCAGCATTAGAGAGCATACAACGAGCTCTTTCCAATAGAGTCCTGTTCAAACGTTCGGCAACACCATTCTGCTGGGGTTTACCAGGCAAGGTCTTGTGCCTGGCAATTCCATTTGCCGCACAAAAGTCATTGAAATCTGACTCACAGAACTCCAAGCCATTGTCTGTCCTGAGCTTCTTGACTTTTTTACCTGTCTGAGTCTCAACAAGTATTTTCCACGTCTTGAAAATAGAAAACGCTTGATTTTTATGTTTCAGGAAATAGACCCAGACTTTACGAGAATAGTCATCAATAATAGACATAAAATATCTACAGCCTCCCATAGACTGGAATTTAGTTGGTCCCCATAAATCAGAATGTATGTATTCCAATACATCTTTGGTACGGTGTGTAGCAGTAGAGAAACTAACCCTCTTTTGTTTCCCAAAAATACAATGCTCACAAAATTGTAATTTACCCGTACCTGAACCACCAAGGAGACCTTTCTTGCTCAGGAGATGCATGCCTTTCTCACTCATATGCCCCAGATGCATATGCCATAATTGAGTGAGATTCGCATCAGACATCGATGAGGATACCGCTACTGAACCTGTCACAGTACTGCCATGCAAGACATACAAGCTTCCAGAACGAGAAGCTTTCATGAGAACAGAAGAGCCTTTGATGACCTTTAGAACTCCACCTTCAGCTATGTACTTGCACCCCAGAGATTCCAAGGTGCCCAATGATATCAGATTGCGTTTCAAATCAGGAATATACCGAACATTGGTAAGAGTCCTGACAACGTTATCATGAGTTTTAATCTGAACACTTCCAATTCCACTAACCTTGCATTGGGTATCATTACCCAGCAAGACAACTCCATCATCAACCGGTTCCAGAGAGATGAACCAATTTTTGTGGGGACACATGTGGAATGTACAACCAGAGTCCAAAATCCACTCAGTTTCACTCCGTTTCTCACCGGAGCTAACAGATAACAACACATCACCATCTGAATCACTTTCAACAACACTAGCTTCAGCGGACTTCTTTTCTCTCTCTTGCTTGTTTTTCAACTTGAAGCATTCAGTCACATCATGACCATGCTTCTTGCAGTACTTGCAGGATTTGTTGGACTTACGTCCTTTGGACTTGGATCTAGAATTTTTATTGCTACTCCCTGATTCAAGTGAACGACCCCTTACGGTCAAGCCTTCACCTTTGTCCTCAGACTTAATTTCAAAGTCAAACTTTTCTTTGGACAATAGGTTCGACTTAACATTGTCGAAAGTAAGGGTATCACTACTATTACCATACAGCATAATTTCTTTGAAATGCGTGTATGATCTAGGGAGAGAGACAAGCAATAAAACAGCGCGATCCTCATCTTCAATTATAACATCAATATTTTCCAAGTCCAATAAAATAGAATTGAATTCATCCAAGTGAGATTTAATAGAAGTACCTTCCGTCATACGGATTGTGTACAGACGCTCCTTCAGGCGTAGCGTGTTCGCCAGAGTTTTGGCCATGTAAAGCGTATCCAGCTTGGACCATAAATCTGACGCAGTCGTCTCACTTAACACCTCACGTAGAACCTCTTTAGACAGGCACAAAAGAATGGTTGAACGTGCCTTGTCATCCAGATCTTCTCAATCTACATCTGTCATTGTAGCCGGTTTCTTCTTCTTCCCAGCTAGCGCTTTCTTCAAACCGTTCTGGGTTAGAACGGCTTCCATCTGAACCTTCCAGATAGAAAAGCTAATTTTCCCGTCGAACTTCTCGATATCGAACTTAGTAACAGTCGACATCTTTGAAAATAATTCTCAAATAAACCGCTCTGATACCACTTGTTAGGAATATAGCGGAATAATGCGGAAGCGAAGAATCGAAAATTGAGAATTATAGAAGTTAAATAATAGGGAAATATATAAAAATGACAAAAGAATTAATAAGAATGAAAATATAAATATATATATATATTACTATCAAGAATATAATATATATATATAAGTATGCTACGTGAGAAAGAAAGAATGAATATAATATATATTGAATTGATGTGTATTAAACAAAGCAAAACACAAAGCTATTTATACATTACAAACAAGAGAAATAATCGCATGAAACATGGAAACGTGTTGCGGCATGGCGTGAAGAATCGAGACCAACAAGGACGTGCATGCAACGTGGAAGACTTATTCTCCATGCATTTGAGCCACATAAAATAGTATTTTCTAACAATCTCCACCTTGGATCAAATTCATCTGTGGAAATTAACAACTGGAATAATCGACTAAACTCAAGCACTGCTTGAACTTAGCAATAGGAAAAGCTTCAGAATATCAGGATGGATCACCATCAACTTCCTGTGTGACTGAAAGTGCATAAGCAACTATGTTGGTTTCATCATCACTAGCATACCTAGCAGGTTTTTTAATTGTCCTCCTAGGACGATCCATAGCAATGGAATACTCTCGTTGTGGCTCGACGAGAGGTGTTGTGCTAGTAGATGCATCATCTTTAGTATTACCGTCAGCAGTAGTAACACTATCAATAGGCCTGAATTCAAACTCCACCTTCTCACCAGTACTCTGTGTCTCACCTGTACTGGGAACTTTTCCAGAAGAAAGTAGTGCATTTTCATCAAAAGTGATATCTCGACTCTTGCTATTTGGTAAATAGATCTCCACATTCATCCCTTGATTTCAAAATTCCAGAGGAAGTTTGGTCAGGTAATCCTGTTGACTACTCTATCTTAAGAGTTTTTGGATGTCCTGCTTATGCTCATTCCAGTACGGGTAAATTAAACCCGAGAGCTGTCAAATGCATTTTCCTTGGTTATGCTTCTGAGTCAAAAGGGTATCGTCTATGGTCTCCTGATTCTCGGAAAATCATTCTGAGTCGAGATATCACTTTTGATGAAAATGCACTACTTTCTTCTGGAAAAGTTCCCAGTACAGGTGAGACACAGAGTACTGGTGAGAAGGTGGAGTTTGAATTCAGGCCTATTGATAGTGTTACTACTGCTGACGGTAATACTAAAGATGATGCATCTACTAGCACAACACCTCTCGTCGAGCCACAACGAGAGTA